GTTGTTAGCATTATTTCTCTTGCTTTTTGTAGCCATTTTAAAGTAAAACACAGATTATTAGAACACAAGCACTATGATACCATGACAGTAGATCTGATAGCCAAGATAGCTACTAAGTGACATATAAAGTGAGGATATGAATCAGGAGGGATGGAGCAGGACAGCAGGAGATTTCATCATGCTACTCAGAATGGTGCACAATTTAAAACTTATGAATTATTCTATTTTTAAATATGTGGTTTTTTAGTTATTGATGGACCTTTATTTTATTCATTTATTTTTATGTGATGGTGAGAATTGAACGCAGTGACTCATACATGCAAGACGAGCCTCTACCACAGGGCTACAATCTCAGCCCCAAACTTATGAATTATTTATCTCCAAAATTTTTCATGTAATATTTTCAGACCACAGATGAATAGGTAACTGAATGAACAGAAAGCAAAACCACAAGGAAGGACTACTATACTGTCAAATTTATATTGTAGGCCAGCTTCCTCATGTTAAAAATTCTTCAAAGACCTCCAATTACATATTGATTTGGAATAAAAAACTTATCCTAAAATTCAGCACTATTTATTCTACTGTCCAGTTCCATACTTATTCTCAAATTCAAGATATTTCTCCTTGTCCTGAAAATACTTAGTTTTTATGTTATATTGCTTTTGTTCACATATCAACTGAAATGTTCTTTCCAGTGTTCCCCTCATTTAGAGCTTTCTGAACTCTTGTCATTTCTTCAAACCTATTCAAATGTCCCATCCTGTAGTGATGTTTCCATTCATTGAACTGTTGAAATTCTTATTTTTAATACAGATTAATTTAGGACATGCATTTTATTGATTTGTCACATTGTGTATGCAAGTTATTTCTATACCTGTCTCATCACCACAAATAAATTTTCCTAGGGTAAAACTGTCTTATACCACTCAGTGTTTGTCACTGAATACCTCACATATACTATCTATGTTTAACATAATTTTAAATGGTGATGTGGACAGTTTTAATTTATGAAGTTTGATTTGTTTTAGAAAAACTTTATACTGCTAGACATGTGTGCATTCATATGTAAATATGCATACATATGTAAATATACATTTATTATATATACTATTCTTTAGGTATTCATATTTATATCTAAATGTAAAGTTAATGGATTCTTTTTTAAAAGACTAAATAATTAAGAAATTTAAGGTGGACATGGTGGCACATGCCTATTATCCCAGCATCTCAGGAGGCTGAGACAGAAGGATCATGAGTTCAAAGCCATCCTCAGCAATTTAGCAAGGCCTTAAGCAACTCAGTGAGAGCCTATCCAAATTAAAAAAAAAAAAGGGCTGGGAATGTGGCTCAGTGGTTGAGTGCCCCTGGATTCACTCCCCAGTACCAAAAAAAAGTTAGGATTTATAACATGAATATTATTTACCAGTTTATCATTTTCCAAAGAAACATGAAGCCTAATGTCTACTTTCATAATAGGAATTTTGTTTATCCTACTGTAAGTTTCCTATAGAACTATTTTTTAAGTAAAATCTATTTGGATCAATAGTTTCTTTTCAGCTGATGTGAACTTATCTAAGGAGCCAGCCAAATATAAGACTGACACCATTAAGATTTATCTCACAGTTATTTTATGGAAATGTCTTAGAATCCTCCCCACATGGAAAAAAAGAACTACACTGTGACTGAAACGATTTAAATAGTTATAAAATTTGAACAGAATAGAATTTGCATAATGGAATTAAAATTTATAAACAATGAAATTAAATAGTAATGAGTTTGAAGCTTAAGTTTATTTTGGAAATGCAAAAGAAAAAATAGACTCAAGCAAATAACAAACTATTCGCCTTTGAACAACTCAGCTATAGTTGCAAGCATGCCTTTCAAATGAGATGTTAACTGGCTTGAGACTCCTATGTTCATTTAGAATAGGGATTCCTAGACTGCAGTCCTTAGATGGACTTCACGTGTTTAATTTCCATTTTAAAAGTACATAGGGGGCTAGGGCTGTGGCTCAGGGGTAGAGTGCTCCCCTGGCATGTGTGAGGCACTGGGTTCAGTCCTCAGTACCACATAAAAATAAAATAAAGGTATTGTGTCCACCTACAATTAAAAAAATACATTTAAAAAAAGTACATAGGAAAGCTATGGGAGTAACTCGGTGTTAGATTGCTTGCCTAGAATGTGAGAGGTCCTGGGTTTGATCCCCAACACTGAAAAACAAAATCTTTTTAAGTGCTGCATTATTTTGATATATTGAATGTCTTTATTTTTTCTTCTTTTCTAACTATTTCCTTCTTTGGTTTAATACCTCTACATTCCTCACCTCTTCCTTATATAACATGAGTTTTATACTCTTCAACCATCTGAGTACTAATTTTCTCTGTCCAGATAAATTCTACTTTGTCAGTATGCATCATAAAATGTAACTTTCAAAATTAGACACTTTTTTAATGAACCATGTAATCAGGTAAAATATACCAAGTTGCAACCTTCCTTTTACCAGAAACTGTATTTGTATTAATAGACTAAATATGAGTGCTCATGATTTCTTTTGACTATGAGAGACCACGTAGACAAATCAGTGTGTTCACATGCATGTGGCACACACACACATACATAGCTGTGAGTTCTAGTTGCTAGTGTACTATGTGGTCTGGAGATCTCTCTGTACCATTCTTCTAAAATTTTATTAAAAACTAAAAAAAACAAAAAACTGCTTATTGAACAAATACAGCATCCTTCAACGGATCTAATGTTCTGTTATATTTTTGTATTTCACTATTACATAGAAAGGAGTTTGGATGATTGCCAGCTTCCTTATTCAAGACAATTATAATCTAATCCCATGCCTTTTTTTTGTTTGTCTTGACGTTCACTTTGATAGTTCTTCCTCTACAGGGAAATCTCAGGCTTGAAACTAAAGCCTCCTTTCCACATAAAACCAATAGAGTTGGCTTATTTCAGGCTATATGTTTCTAGTTTTCAGAACTGGGTTTAAAACTCTTTGTGTATGTGCTTACTCCTGTGTATTTGATTGATTTTGGAGAATTCTGGTTAGATTAGATATTTAATTCTCAAAACACATGTTCCATAAAAAGGAAATAGTCAACAGTATATTTTTATGATGATTACATAGGCAAATACTAAGGTTACCTTATAACTAAATAGCATCAAATGATATTAAAATGACATATAATGACATATAATTATATCCTACTTAATGGATTATATTTGTGTTTTTTTAATAGGTGAGAATTAATTTTATACCTCTTAAATAGCAATTTGGGTATGAATAAAGACTATTAAGTAATCCTTAATTGACATTTCTTCATCTTTAAATCACTTCAATTAAAATTGAACACAGAAATGATTTGAAAATACTGTTATTCTTTTACACTGAGAAATTTTGGAAACAAACCCCACTCAATTTTTGCTAAGCTGATTGATTAAACATACAGTCAACTCTCGGTTATTCAAATTAATGGAGGAAAGGATGGAACAAGCATTAATAGTTCTCTCATCCCTGCCCCCTCAGACAATTGCTGACAGCTCATTCTAGACAAAATTTGACTTTCTGTCTTCATCATATGACATTTTCAAGCCCTTGAATCCAGGATTCAGTGAAATATGACCTACAATTTAGTTAATAGGAAAGTTTCATGTTATTACACTATTATCTTCTTTTATGTAGATTCTTAAAATCAGGACCTTAGCATTGCCTTTGTACTATTAAAATTCACATGAAAAGTTGGTAACATTGCTATTAAGGTATTATTCTGAAGGATCATAAAATTAGTTTTATATAAAAAGTCATCCTGGAATTACAGTTTACAGATAATTATAACCTTTTAAAAGCATTACCTCATGGTATCAAATTGCTTTAAAAATTTTTTAATATAAAAATTTTATGAGAAAGCTTTTGTCTTTGAGTCTTTTATAGAATATATTCCAGCTTTTTAAATTCTAATGTGTGCAATATTTCTGAGTACTCTGTGTTTGTAAAATGAAGAAATGCTGAAGGAATTTATGTGTGAAAATAGTATGTTGCGTGTATGTAATACGTCATCTTCTCTACCAATTAACTGCACACATTGTGCTAGTATCCAGACATAAGCATTCATAGAAATGCATGGCTCTGGATAACTACAAGTTGAAATAAACACACCTGCAATTTATTTCAATACTGCACATTCAAATCCACCTAATACATTTATTTGAATGTGACTTCCATATATGTGAAAGAACAGTGGTTTTAGCATTTGATTTTTTGTGATGTTTTGTTGGTGATGATTAAATCTAAAGTAGATGCAAAGTTATGGGTAATGCTTCTCTGGAAAACTTTGCATGCAGAGAAAAGGAAATTCAAAGATAAATCCTATAAAAACTTTCAAATTGTTTTTGCCTCAATGTGCATTGTCGTTAGATTCTTATAACATATAGTAATGCTTAAAGCCAAACTAGTAAAACCCATTAACCAGCCTAGAGTATGGCCTACTTTACTTAAAGTTCAATAATTTAATTATTTTTCTTTCCAGACTAAAAATTATTAAGTCCTTCATTTTGAGAATATTATTTTTTCTCAAGAAACTGTTTCCTTGAAAGTGGACTAAGATTTAAAAAATCATGGTTTCTATTAGGCAGGGGAAGTATTAGTTACAAGTCTTATTTTATAGTCTGTGTGATGGTTTCTTTCATATGCTGTCCCAAATTAGGCCATATTTCTGTATAGTTAGTTTTACCTGACATGAGCCAGAAAATTAAATTAATATTTCTTTAGGAATCTTAACTTTGAATTTCCTACTTTTCATTGCATGTAAACTATCAGTGACAAATAATAGTTTCAGTTCAGGTTCTAGCTTGTATTTTGCATGATAAAGCTATATAAAAAGCCTAGTAATGCTGGGAAAATTTATAGCTATGGTTCCGCTATTGCCTAATTGTCAAAATTTATAAATAAGGGGTGATTTTATTTATGTAGACTTGTCTTTCTGCCTTAGGGAGTGAACTACTTTATGTCCAAGGGTATCCTAGATGATTCGCCAAAGGAAATAGCAAAGTTTATCTTCTGTACAAGAACACTGAACTGGAAAAAGCTGAGAATCTATCTTGATGAAAGGTAAAAAAAAAGAAGAAGAAGAAGAAGAAGTTTTAGTTTTCATAAGAAATGAGTTAAGTGAGGCTTTTGATGAAGTTTTATTGTAAAAACTATGCTAGATAGCAATCATCAATTACTGTATCTTAGATATCCTTTGTTTTGTGAGTTTTATCTTGCTAATGAAGAAATTGCCATTATAAAAGTAAAAATAAGTCCATGCACATAAACAAAATGATAGCCCAACATTTTTCTAATAACAAACCAAAATCAATATTTTTGTGGAAGCTGCAGCCCTTTTTCTTAATAACTAGCTATAATCTTAAGTGTTAAAATAACTGAAATTTTTGAATTCTGAAATTGTTCATGTAAAAATCTATTATGAAAATAAATTATCAAAACTTAGAGATATAAGGATATGTGTGTGCATAGCAGTACTACACAGAAGTGCATGTTTGAAAATTCTGAAAATATGACATTTAGTAGTGTGTTCTACACACATTGAGATAACTAATATGTTGTTCTGATTTAATAGTCACTCATTTATACTCTATTATTCTACTAATTGATGGACATTAAAAAATTGAAGCCTTGTGTCGTGATGCACACCTGTAATCCCAGTGGCTCAGGACGCTGAGGGAGGAGAACTGCATGTTTGAAGCCAGCTTTAGCAGTCTAGTGAGGCTGTATGCAACCTATTGAGACCCTGTCTCAAAATTTAAAAATAATAAGGGCTGGGGATGTGGCTCAGTGTTCCTGTGTCTCTAGGTTCAGTCCCTGATTACTAAAAAAAAAAAAAAAAAAGATTATGGGAAAACATTTTGATGCCACACAAACTCTATTTTAAAAATTATAGATCTGATACTAAACTAACGTATGGCACACACAAAAAAATGCATGCCTTTCAATCTTTTTTTTCCTCAGGATTTTTTAGTACCAATTTATAAATGTTTACTTTGTTTTAGAAACTTTGCTAAAGAATAGGGTATATAGTCATTACAAGAAGTCTCTTATGTAAAAATATTCTCATTGACTCTTCTTGTCTTTAAATGTCAGGCTCTTTGAATTGGCAGTTTTCAGTAAAGAAACAGATCTTTTCATAAATATTTTATGCTTTGCTGATCTTATTATCTCTGCCATAGCTACTTACAACTCTGCAATTGTGTTGTGAAAACAGACATATAATCTATAAACAAAGTACTGTGGTTGTGTTTTAATACAGCTGTTTACAAAATCAGGCAGTGGGCCATATTTAGCTCAGTATCTATAGTTTGCCTGTCCCTGCCATAAGTAATTGGTAGAAGTTGAAGGTTATGATCACATAATTGTTGTTAAGTTCAATAATCATTGAAGGATATTGTAACAAAGTGAGACTAGACATTAGAATGCTATTGATTAAACATAACATACATATTCAAATATTTATATAATTGTAAATAACCTGAATGTTTACATCAATAGGATATATAAAATAGGATTGTAAGATGGATACATCAATAGGATTGTAATGGCTACTATGCTGCCATGAAAAACAGTGAGATGAATCTATATGCGGAGTTAAAGAAAGCTGTTAACAATAAACTGTGAAAAAAGCAAAAGCAAATTCTAAAGCAATATATAGTATATGTAGGCAATTTAAAATCTCTACATAGTTGTTGCCTCTGAAAGTATAGCTTGGTATGGTAGGTGAAGATTGTCTTTACTTTCATAATTTAAAAAATAAAGACTTAGTCAAGAAGACACTGCAAAACAATTTCTTTATTTTATAAGCAGAATTATTTCTGGTATTGTCTTTAGTTTTGTTATAACCTATTTATAAAAGAGTTCAAAATTGTTTAACTTCATTAGATAATCATACTTAATGTTTTAAAGTTTTAAGAATAATATATACTTTTGAGCCAGGTGTGGTGGAACACTACTGTAATCCCAGCAGCTTGGGCAGCTGAGAAAGGAGGATTGCAAGTTCAAAGCCAGCCTCAGAAACTTAGTGAGATCCTAAGCAATTTAGTGATTCTTGTCTCAAAATAAAAAAAAAGAACTGGGGATGGATCAGTGGTTAAGCACCTCTGGGTTCAAAAAAAGAAGAATATATACTCTTATAGGATTAACTGAGTAATAATTCATTATTTTATCAAAAAATTACAAATTACAATTTATAATTTTTATTATTAGCATTTTTTAATAAAGTTAACTAAAGCTGTACCTATTTTTTTTTCTATAGGAGAGATGTCTTGGATGACCTTGTAACATTGCATAATTTTAGAAATCAGTTCTTGCCAAATGCACTGAGAGAATTTTTTCGTCATATCCATGCCCCTGAAGAGCGTGGAGAATATCTTGAAACTCTTATAACAAAGTTCTCACATAGGTTCTGTGTTTGTAATCCTGATTTAATGCGGGAACTTGGCCTTAGTCCTGGTAAGAATATATATATATAGTACATTACTTCCTCCCTCCTCCCTGGCCACCTCCAGGTAAAAACAGTCCAATATGACACATTTTTCTCACTGTGGGGAAAAATGACTCCATTAATTAAAAATATTTATTTTGCTGTTTTAGCAGTAACTGCATCTATGGAATATATCATTTATGTGAACATAGAGGACCACTTTACTTAGTCATAGACATCATTTATACATAGTAAATTTACTGACTTAGAACAAAAGTTAGATTTAGCTACAGATATTCTTTAAAATTATTCTTGTTTGAGTGTTCGATACTTTTACCAATATAATTGAATACTTGAGAAATTATTTTAAAGCTTATAATAATCCACACATTGCATAGGTAATATTTTTCAACTAAAATTTATGGGGTTTTTTTTTGCTTTTAAAAAATTAATTTACTTATTGTAGTTATACATGACAGCAGAATGCATTTTGATTCATAGTACACAAATAGAGCACAATTTTTCAGTTCTCTGGTTGTACACAAAGTGGAGTCACAGCATTCATGACTTCATACATGTACCTAGGATAATGATGTCCATCTCATTCCACCATATTTCCTACCTACCAAAAGCACTATACAGATATAATGTAATGTAATCCAATCAAAATCCTAATGACATTCCTCATAGAAATAGAAAAGCAATCGTGAAATTCATCTGGAAAAATAAGAGTCCCAGAATAGCCAAAGCAATCCTTAGCAAGAAGAGTGAAGCAGGTGGCATCACTATACCAGACCTTAAACTATACTATAGAGCAACAGTAACAAAAACAGCATGTTATTGGCACCAAAATAGACATGTAGACCAATGGTATGGGATTGAGGACACAGAGGCAAACCCACATAAATACAATTATCTCATTCTAGACAAAGCTGCCAAAAACATATATTGGAGAAAAGATAGCCTTTTCCAACAAATGGTGCTAGGAAAACTGGAAATCCATATGCAACAAAATGAAATTAAGCTCCTGTCTCTCACCATGCACAAAATTCAACTCAAAGTGGATCAAGGATCTAAGAATTAGACCAGAGACCCTGTGCCTAATAAAATTTGTTTTTAATACAACTAGTTTTTATTGTGTTTGTATGTACTGTATATGTATACATATATGTTTGCATGTGATAGAACCTTAGTTTCCTGTGTGCTTTTCATTTGATATAGGTTTATCTTTTCATATAAAAAATTTTATATTGATTATCTCATTAAGCAGAGATTACAAAACATTTATGTATCATATGAAATTTACTGAACATGCTTTACAAGACATGATCTTTCAGTTAGCTGTAGGATTCTGAAATATAAACACCACAAGAGTACCAAGTATCGTTTGTTACTATTGTAATATTAAACATCAAGTATTGACCTGAGCTTATATAAAGAAGAAAATTATTTTGTTACATGGTGCTCTGGTATAGGAATCCTTTCTCTAAAGATTTACCTTTGAAATTAATAGGTAAATTCCATAGGATTTTGAAATACATCTCTCCAAGTAAGAATATTAATTTCATAATCCTATAAATTGTTAACATTTTATTTTTAATGCCAAGTAGTCATTAAAATGCTTTCATATTAAACTAGGTTTATGTAAAGCACTCTGTAAATAAATATGTTCCTTTTTTAATGAGCAGGAAAATATGCTCTTAGTGCAAATTTTTAATATGTATTTTGATTCATAGTACACAAATAGTTGGATATAAATAACATAATACACATATTCAAATAGTTATATAATTGTAAATAACCTGAATGTTTATATCAATAAGATATACACAATAGGATTGTGAGATGGGATATCAATAGGATTGTAATGGTTACTGTGGTGCCATGAAAAACAGTGAGAAGATTCTATATGTGAAATTAAAGAAAGCTGTTACAATATACTGTGTGAAAAAAAGCAAAAGCAAATTCTAAAGCAATACTTAGTATATATAGGCATTTTAAAATCTCTACATAGTTGTTGCCTCTGAAAGTGTAGCTTGGTATGGTAGGTGAAAGCATTTGAAAGCAAAAATGAAAATAAAGCTAATTCTGAAATTCTTAAGTCTAGAATGAGGACTGGGGTTGTGGCTCAGGGGTAGAGTGCTCACCTAGCATGCATGAGGCACTGGGTTCGATCCTGAGCACTACATAAAAGTAAAATAAAAATACTGGATCCACCTAAAACTTAAAAGAAAAATCTATAATGAGTTTTTTACTATAAACTCCTAAACTATTCTAAAGTTCTTCTGAATTGAAAAAAAAAATACTTAATGAGGGCTAAGATTATAGCTCAGTAGTATAGCACTTGCCTAGCATGTATGAGGCCCTGGGTTCAGTCAGTTGCAGGGTAGGGAGGAAGGGAGGACATGCTTACTGAATTTACATTCAGACTGGAGGATAACTGTCCTGGTTTGCCCAGTCCTGAGGAATTTTCCAGGTCTTTTAGTGCTGAACTGGAAAAAGAGCAAAACCAGGCAAACTGGGAGGAGTTGGTCATCCTGTTTAGTTGTATACTAATCTTGAGCTCTTGAAATTATGAACATTTGCCCTTATGTAAAATGTAAAACCTTTGGGATAATATTTTTTATACTAGCAAATAATTCAAAGTGTTTCTTTTTCCTTACAGACGCTGTTTATGTACTGTGCTACTCTTTGATTCTACTTTCCATTGACCTCACTAGCCCTCATGTGAAGAATAAGATGTCAAAAAGAGAATTTATTAGAAATACTCGTCGTGCTGCTCAAAACATTAGTGAAGATTTTGTAGGGCACCTTTATGACAACATCTACCTTATTGGCCATGTGGCTGCATAAAAGCACAATTACTAGGACTTCAACTTTCTACTTCAGACTAAAAGCTACCCAAGGACTTATTTAGCAAATATGGGGGTTTCATCAGTGCTGGCCCTTCTAGCCTCTGTATACAATCAAGCTTGAGTATACAACCTCTTTTTCTTTCACTATTTTCTTTTTTAGTAATTTCCTTGGAGAACTAAGTAACTTTGGAGAATTTTTCTTAATTTTGCTTATCATGTTTTGCACAAAGCACAGCCATTGTCTAACAGAACTATTGAAAGAATGTTAAACTGACACACATTATACTCTATAAGATGGTGTATTTGTGCAGTAGATTTGCCTGAAAAACTTTATCCATTTACATTCTTTTTTAAGATTCCACATAATGTGTACATATTTAACTAAAGAGATTTATAATCATAATTATTTTATTGTAAAGATTTTAACTAAAGTTTTTTTCCTTTTCTCTCAAACTGGGTTCTGAAATTTATTTGGTTCTTATCTGAGAATATTGTTGTCTTTGTAAAAGTAGGATCTGACGTCAAATGGAAACCAATACCAGCTATCCTTGTCTTCGGACTTCCAAGAGTGTTGGTTTGTTACTATATTACTATGCAAAACTCGTACTTACTTGTATAATATAAATTTATCATTTGATTCTTCATTTTTTAAACTTCTGAGTTAATCAGTTCTCAGTAAGTCCTTTAAACCACTTAAGATTTAAAAATGTGTCTGAATTTAACATCTACACTTATCAGAACAGAATAAATGTTATTAGAACTCTGATAAATCTTTGCTTACTTATAGCTGAACTAATCACACTTTACTCTTTTCCTAAAAATCTTGATAATCTCTGTTCAGAATTCATTGAGAAAGGGATATTGTGACGATGGTATATAGTCTTTGTTCATTCATTTGGTAAATATTCATCAAGGGACTTCCATGTGCTAAGCACTGTACTAGGTATTAGTAATACCTAGACATCAGCTCTGCATTCACAGGTATTACATCATTGGACAAACCCTACTAAATGGAGAGCAAATGTATTCATTGTGTCTTAATTAATAATTATTTAGTGGTTAAAGAGTGTTGGATTTACACAGCATTGGATTGATAGAGAACATTGTATTTATATAGTAAGTTAAACAACAAAAGGTTTGGAGTGAACAGAATATGATGGTAGAGCTGCTAGCTTGAGGTAAGGGAGTTGGAGTAGAGACTTCTTACTAGAAGTGTAGAATCCTGGCTTCCTTTCAGATCTGACCCTAAATCCATAGAGATTTTTAATATTACAGCTGCAGTAGTATACTATAGATTTTTAAAGGACAAAAATAAGGTAATCAAATCATTTTTAATGTCAGAAGAACTTTTAAACTGATACAAAACAATGTCTAGATTCTGAATCAAATAAGTAATGTTTACATGTATATAATTTTGAATTCCATTACAAAGTAATTCTAATTTGTAAAGTTCAAACTAATTTATTAAGCTTCAAAAGACAAAGAACAGTGTAATGTATTTTATTTTTGTTTCTGTGTTCCAGTGTGTGGCACATAGACCTCTCTGTCTACTCCTTTTCCCCCCCATCCCTCTTAATTGTCATCTTTTTAAATTTCACTCTCTTTTCTTTTTTACTAGCTCCCATTTCCCAATTTTTTCCCCTTTTATCAGTCTTATTTTCTACTACGGTCTAATTATAAATGTGGATTAGCAATACCTTTTTCAACATTTTCTTATGGAAATTTTCAAACATATAGAAACATTGACATATTTTATAGAGAATGCCTATATACATGCCACCTGGATTCTACGATTAAAATTTTACTATATTTATTTTATTACATATTTATCCATCCCTCTTTCCATTAGTGAATCCATTTTATTAGTTTGGTACAGGTTAAAATAAGTTTCAAACAATATACTTCATTTCTAAAGACTTAAGCTTGCATATCTTTAATTAAAAGTCTATTGTTTCAGCTTTTTTCCTTTGAGGTAAAACTTACGTTCAGTGAAATGCAGAAATATCATGCATACTGATCAATGAAACCTCACAAAGACATGTACCTGTGCAAACCAAACCAATGTGACCATAGAGACCCATTTAGGCCGTCCTCCCATCCACTACCTTATTCTTGTCATATATAACATACAGTATGTTATATGTTATAATTTTCCTTGAACAAGCATACACACTTTAAATAAATTTTTAAAAAATACCCTTTAATTCTTACCCAGATTATCATTTCTGATACTCATTCTTTTCTGATGATCCAAGTTTTCTTGCAGTATCATTCCTTTCAAAATGAAAAACTGTCTGATTTCTATTTCAGTTCATGTCTGCTGAAAATTATCTTAGTGTTCTTTTATCTGAAAATGTCTGATTTTTTTATGAAGAGTTTTTGGCTGAATATTTCTGAGTTGACATTTTTCCCCTTTAAAGATTATTTCATTATGTTCTGACCTCTTATTTCTGATAAGGAGGCAGTAGTGTTCAAATTGTTTTTGCTGTTGTACGATATTATTTTCCTCTGAGTGTTTTATTTCATGCAATATTTTTTAGCTTCATATTGTCTCAGGTTTTTGAGGCTCTATAGATTTTTTTCCCAATCTTTTATTCCTCATGTGGTTTTTTCTCTTTATCTGTATTCCAGTTTACTAATTTTTATATACTTGTTCTCTTTTTAAGCCTCCAATAAACATTTTTCTTTAAATTGCTACACTTTTTTAGTTCTATAAATTCCCTTTAGCTTTTATAACTTATAATTGCCTTCAGCTTTTATGACTTCTATCTCGCTGCCAAGATTTCTTATCTTTTTTCATTCATTACAAGCACATTTTCCCTTACATCCTTGAGCATAGTTAGAAAAGCTGCTTTAAAATACTTGTCTGTTTATTCCAATATCCTGGATCATATCAGTGCTAGTATTCTTTGGTTTCCTTTTCTTTTGAGAATGGGTTTACATTTTTCTGTTTCTTATATGCTAAATAACTTAGACTATGTTCTGGACATGGTAAATAAGATGTAATAGAAGCCCTGGGTTCTGATTTGTTTCCCCAGATCCTTCCCCCCCCCCAAACAAATAGGCAGTTAACTTGACTAAACTTCCAGCTGTAAACTGTGGCTCCCCTATAGTTGAAGGCTGGTCAAATTTCAGTTCATTTCTTTAATTAGGCAGCTTTATTTAGAGTCTGTTCTGTGCCTGCATGCTTCAGGGATCAGCCAGAATTGGGGGCAGAGTACATATATAGGATCTGAGACTCTCACTGGTTCTTTCCTTGCCAGGCTTTCCCTCTGCATTTTCCAGCAACAGCCATTACCCCAAACCCTAGCCTGTGGTTCTTCGATCAGTAAAACTATAGGTTCCACATGATGCAGAGTAGGACTGCCTTTGGGCTAATTATCAAAATGGGAAGCTCACCCAATGCTGTGTTCTCTGCTACCCAAAATGATATTCTCTGTAGGATCAGCTTGCTTTGGGTTGCTTTCTACTACTTTCAAGTCATTGAATTTTATATTTTGCCCTGAGTTGGTTGTTTTATCTGTTGGAAGGCTGAAAGAGCTATTTGGCTATCACTTAAAGTTAAACCCTCTCTAATTGAATAGTATTCCTTTTATGGTTAATGATTAGGGTTTTATTCCTCATTCGTTTTTAAAATAGGCGGTTAAAAATTTTTAACATGATCCATCTATGAAAACCCTTAATAATAAAAAACACGTACTAAATTAAGCATTCAGTGTTTCTCTGTATGGGTTCTATTATTTTTGAAGGAAGGTTAGTCTTCATCATGGGAAGAATTTTGTATTATATGTAATGTCACATACAGTATGGGGCATAACCATGCTTGGATCTTGCCTACTAGATGCCACTAGTGTCCCCCAATCATTATGATATACAAATAATGTTCCTATATATTCAGGTATCTGCTGGGGAACAAATTACCTATAACTGAGAACTGCATCTTCTTTCAGATTTAACAATTATATCTTTCTAAAACACAAATCATCTTGATGACACTTCAAAGTCCCCTTTTGCCCTGAAAAACTAAGTGTAACCTCCTTAGCATGGCATTTAAGACTTCACAATCAGGCCTCAGCTTATCTTTAAAGCTTCATCTCTAATAACATTCCTCAACTATGGTTTGATCTTCCTTTGCCTTTTATTATAAGCTCTCTTTCTCTGATACATTTTTCTTACCTGTGTATATATTGTTCCTCTGCTAATCATCTGAGAGTCACCTCAAATGTAATTTCTTTATCAAAGCTCTCAAACTGTTTTACACACCACTGTTAATTGCTTCTTCTTCTGTAAACTGTGGTGCTTTGTACATATCTTTATTATAGTAGTTATACTATTATTTTCTACATGTCCAACTTTTTCATCAAACATGATCTTAAGATTAGACTGCTCCCAACCACTCAGGTTGTATTTCAAGATCTGAATTAGAAAAGTTGCAGAGGATGTTAGAGAGAAGTAATAAATTTGGAAATTGATAGGAGTGGTGATTTTAGAAAAAGATTTGTAATCTGACTGCCTGGTTGTTCTGTTATGAATGGTAGCTCCTAGGAGAAGCAACAGGTGGAGTAAAATGGAAAAGATTATCCCAATTTTTGCATATTTTGAACTTCAAAGAATGAATAGAGCTTTCAATGCAGCCAGAAATAGGACTAGGGTTAAAAGTTAATAGAGCTGGATATTTAAGTTGGAGTCCACATTACTATTTAAAGCATATTAAGTGATACATGGAAAAGATAATGTCTCTTAAAGTATGGAGTATAAAAAGAAATAATTGGGAAATATATTATTTTAGGTTTGGGTAGAGAAAGAAAAAAGGAGTCAGAAAAGAGGGTTCATCAAAGCACTAGAGAAGAACAGTATTGCAATGACTAAAGAAAGAAATTGTCAAGAAGGGTGCTGATCTTTACTTTTACTGTAGCCCAAGGAAGTTTTTTCCCGTCTATACTCAGCCTTCTTGAGTCTACCTTGCCACCTGGGACTAAATTCTTTAAGGCTAGAAAATCATCGTACTGCTAATGGCTTTTATATGGTTCTTGAGCAAATATTCCCTTACCTGATGTGTAATCTGAGCTCTGCCGAAACCCACAAAAGTGCTTAGGCCTGTCTACACCTTCCTTCCCCAATAAGGGTTATGTTGTTTCAAGCCCAGAATGCACCATGCCAATTGGGTACTTCTAGTGAATACTTCCCACACAGTCACTGGTTATGTTTTCTAAGATACAGATCATATTTTGAAAGAGAAAAGGAGAGAAAGGGAAAGGAATGAAGGAGAAAGGGGAAGGAAAGGGTGAAAAAAAGGGAAAGAAAAGAATACAGAAGGAAAGAAAAGGAGAAAAAGGAGGAGAGGGCAGAGAAGAAAAAAAGAAACAGTACTTGAATCTTTTAGAGCCTCGTCCAAATTTGTCATCAGGATTTTTCCGGCGTTTATTCTGGTGAAATTAACACTCTAATCATAATGAATGCTGTATTTTCACCCCGTTTGGGAAACTGTTAAATCCTCCTTCATATTTTACCTGTTGAAATGCTATTTGTCCTTCAATGTTCCCAGATTCTGTTCCCTCCAGGACAGCTTTCTCAGTTTTCGCAGATGGAAATTTAATTCTTATGTCTCATTCAGTTCCTAACATAGACATTTCCCCAGAGTAGTTTCTTGATTTATTTTAGCTCTGGTTCAGTTCCTGTATAAGCATATAGAAAGATGGTTTTACTAGTTCCATTTTTCTAACATATTCAGATTTTTCAGGTGTACACAATTTATAAGTCATTAAC